AGTGGTTCTCATCTAAAGGTTTAAGATTTCAAAAATACCCGTATTTTTATTTTTATTACGTCGCTTTTCTTTTTTTAACGCATGCTCCCGTTGATTTCCCCTCGGACAGCTCTTAACAGCCTCTGTGTCTCTGTGACTTAAAAAAAAAATAATGTAGCGGAGAGGAAAAAGCCATCTGCTGCCTTTGTTCACCCTGACTCGTGCTGTCCTCGTGTCCCTCATACTTCCCCTCAATTAGGACTTTAATGTTGAAACCCTCCAAAAACCCGTTCTTCTCCGCACCGGACTGCGCTTACCCCTAATATTAGACATAATTTAACAAAAACATAAAGAACCACAATCAAGAATTTCAGATTTGGAGCACCGTTTTCGCGCACATTGCGCGTAACAGCATCAGAGGAGTGACTGACGGTGTGTGGAGCGCGCTCTGAGGCGCATGAGTAAGGATGTCTGGGATGGAAACAGCAGCTATTGGTAGAGAGGCCCATGCGACGCTGTGAGTTTACCTTTGTAGACTTTGAAGAGAAAAACAAAAAGACATACATGTGCGTGACCAGATGTGAGCTTGGAGCTTGGCTTTTGGCTTGGCGAGGCTTCGTTGGCCATACAAATCCTGTCTGAGCCATCGAATACTGCGCAAAAAAAAGTTATTCGCTTGTACACATGGAAACGACGCTCAAGGAAGACGCTTTGCGCTGCAGACGGCTTCATCTTTTGAAATTGGAACAAGGACAAAAGGTACAATGGGTGACAAAGCGTCAGGAAATTAGTTTGGACGCAAATGTTCCAAATAAACTCCACCCTGTATTTTTTCGCTTTGTGTGTAAATTGGATAAGGAAATATTCTCCTATATGAATGCTTGTGTGACAGAATTTGGTCATAAAAACATAACCTGCTACCGGCGAAAAGTTTTTAAATATACGTACGTTCATTGTACGCAATTCATAGATCTTTATTCCAGATAGGTCTGGAATAACTCCAAATTACTGGACGCACTATCATCAGATTTATTTTTCCGACATTTTACTATAAGTAGCAACTACATCCATCTATTTTAAAATCCAAATTTATAAAGCACATTTAAAACAATTTTCCTTAATGCTGTACATTAAAAAAATAAAAACAAAACAGACATTTAACAGACTCATAAAATAGACGCTGGTTCAAGCGTCTGAAGCCCAAGAACAAGTTTTCGGACATATTTGGTTTGCATCACACGAAGATTAAGATAATCTCATCACTGGTCTAAAAAAGCAAAACCCTAATGTGCGGAATCATTTCAATCGATATGATAATCTATTTAATTTACAACCCCTTCCAAAAATGCTTGCACCTGATAATGTCTTTTACTTTAGCTCACATGACACAGTTAAACAACTCCCACGCTCTTTTATTTTTCGCTCTTTGTTACTTTTGAAGCTAAAGGCTATCTTTTTTTTTTTTTTAAAGAAAACTAGTGAAAAGAACATCCTGAAGAACACCAAGGACACAGTGGTCATTCCAGGGTTATAGTGTGAAAGACGTTTGACACAGGATTAGTTTATAAAACAGTGTCTCAAGGTTTGAAGATCTCACAAAGAGCTGTTCAGTTCATCGCCTGAAATGGAAAAAAAAAGTCACAAAGAAAGATACACATGTTCATGTATCTTCTGTCACCACATGAGCTGACAACCAAGAGACCAATAGATCTCAATGGATTTCTGTGGACCTCTGGAGGAGCTGCAAGGTCCCACAAATCTGGGCTTTATGAAGGAAATCATTGTTGGAAAAAGAAAATCAAAGAAGTCTCACACAATTTGTCAGGCATTCTGGTCACACTTTGTTTGCGGGAAAACACAGTAATGTTAGCATTTAATTAAGGGGTATTGAACACACATCTGAAAAAAAAGTAGAACCGAGGCTTTCAAGAACTGGCCCATATGTCAGTGGAAGATGTTGATCTGGGAGGATGATGCTAAAATTGACAATTTTTTTGGTCCAAAGTCCACAATGGCAATTGTGAAGGAGAGAACGTGAAACAACCTTACACTAACAACAGTACCTCCAAAATAACCATAGTGGCAGAATAATGCTGAGGGGTTTGTTTTCTTAGCAAGAACAGGGAAGCTGCAATAGACTTCAGTGGCCTAGTCAAAGCTCACACTTAAATGCAACTGAGAATCTGTAGCCAGACTTTAAAATTGTAACACCGCAGAAGATGGTCACCAAAACAAAAGAAACAAAAACATTGGAGAAAATACTCTCCATGTTAAGTTCCTCTTATCAAATTTTAGTCCAGTCCCATTTATCGTTTCCGAATGCAAATGTACTCCACTCTTCTCGGAGTTGTTTTCTTAAACAAGTTAAGAAACATGTATCATTTTCCTTCAACTTTACTTTAATTATGCATTTTCTGGTGGTAACACACACAAAAAATACACTGTAATTTGTGGCTGCCACATGACAAAATGTGAAAATAGGTAAGCTGTATGTTTGACAGAGCACAGACTCATAATTTGACTATCATTTAAAATACTTTGAACAGTTGTTCGTGATTTTTGTCAATAAATCCATATTGACAAAAATCACCTCCTAGTTGTTTTTCCTTGAGTATCTTTTGAGGCAAAAATAAGGCTGTTAATTCTATCGACATTCTATCAAACTTCACATTTATTTGTAACCTTTTGCAGACTCCATTATATTACTCACATACTCCTTTAAATATATTACATGTCATTATTTCCATTATCTTATCTTATTCCATCATCATAACTGTGGCAGTCCTTCTTACTCTTTTTTTCCAGCAAGTACACACTGAAAGTTATTTTTCTACTTTCCATCCCTTATCCAACTTTTCAGTCCTGAGCTAAATTCAGATGCAAATGTTTCCCAGACGCTTCAGTGCCATGTGGATGGTGGTGGAGGCGTTGATTTTGGCGTGGGAAGCCAGACGTTTTACAGGTTCAAAACCAAAAGTCTGGAAGCCTCTGAGAACTACTGTTTCTTTTAACATTTTTTGATCCATTGGTCCAACCCTGAAAATGAAGTAGGCCTAATAATTAATGTAATAATTAATGTTTCATTTGTGATAATAAAGTCTGACCAACAGTGTTTTTGAGCTCCTTATTTTCCTGATTAAAAGCTAAAAGTAAAATACACATTGGATTAAATTAATTCTAAAAGAAATTCTAGATATCTCTCTCTCTCCATATTTCCCGATTAACTGATTCCAAATGTTTTCTGTCCAAACTTCAACAAAGGATCACTTCGCTCCAGGCTTGCGCAGATGGATACCGACGCTGAATCCAAGACAAAAAAGGTTCCAACCGATGCCCCTCTTCCACGTTTTTTTTTTTTTTGGTCTTATTTGAAAGGACCAGTTCCCAAGCAGGAGAAGATGGCAGTTATTTGGGGGCCCCATGGGGCAGGGCGCGTGCAAAACCCCCTATCTGTAAGGGCGTGACAAAGACCAGCATCATCTTTACCTCCATAGTGACATTTTTGAGTTGAACAACGATTTGATGTCGAACCGCTTATGGACACGTATTTGCCAAGCATAGTTTCATAAAGCGTTTGGTTTAATTTAGTCAGCGAATGTTGCGCGTAAAAATTGAATTTGCTCCATTTGAACATTTGATTACTCATAAAATTATGAAGACTTCTTTTTTGATTTTGTGAAAACGTAGCTGCAGACGCAAGATCACGGTTTCTTCTAAATATATGACCTTAGAGATATGTGTGTATATATATATATATATATATATATATATATATATATATATATATATATATATATTTTTTTTTTTTTTTACCTTAGTTACTAAAGTAATCGAGGCACAATAGCGCATTTGTTGCCGTGGCGCACGAAGCCGGAGCCTAGATGCTGACGGTGGGAACATGCATCAGGGGAGCGGTGGAGCGGAGGCAGACATGGGGAGGAGGGAGAGAGAGGGTCTGTGGTTTGGGAGGGTGGGGGATGTGATGAGGAGAAGGTTCCCATTTGTTGCGCCCATTGTGGCGCGTGCCGAACGCGTGAATCCCACCGTCAGCTCCGAGTCTGCGTCTCCAAAAATCAAAGATTAAGTTCAACTCATTAAATCTTTTAGAAAAAAAAAAAAAGTTGTGTCGTCTGAAATATTGAGAATTTTATTGAGGATTTGAGCTCTGATTGCGCGTTTATAGGTCTTACGGAACACACTTATGATGAGATGCTTTGTAAGTCTCAGATTTAAATACTCACTTTTGTGTTATTGGTACAGTTTTTTTTTTACATAAATATGTAGGTTTTATATTTTATATATCGTCTCCTTTTCAAAATACACATTCGTGAAAGTGCAAATCTCTGCTCGTTTTAACTCCATCCTGTTGATGACGGATCAGGCTCTTCTGGGGGCCCATAAGCAGATGTTAATCCATACATGGCGTGGCTTGGGTATCTGGTTCCCTTTTTTTTGTTGTTGTTGTTGTTGTTGAATAGATTAATCTCGTCACTTTAGATTCATATTTGGCATTGCGTGTTTTGTTGTGGCAGAACGTAATTTGACTCTATAAACACATGAATTTCAAGGTCATTCACGCTTTTATCATTCTAAACTTTTTAATGACAAACATCCAACAAGCTCTTTCAAAAGGACACAGTTTGGTTCATGCATGAACTACAAGGTAGAATGAAATATCAGCCTAAGCAGAACTGTTTATAGATAATTGTTACTTAAGTCCCAATTTTACTAATAAAAGACGTGGGAAAGAAAGGAGATTTTCTAAACAAATTAATAAACGGAGTTGTGAGGCCTTGAAATTTCCAGAAGGATTTCAGTTACAGGACTCATGTGCAATTTGATCTAGGTCGGACGATAAAGTTTTGAATTAAAACAAACACACACACACACACACACACACACACGCACACACACACACACACACACACACACAAAAAGGAAAAAAAAAACAAAACAAAAAAAAAACAAGAGAGCGAAACATGGTCACGAAACTCTACATACCAGTGTACAAAACGCGGGTCCCCAAGGGGGACCAGATGGTCAGACAGCAACTCTGCTCATTTTCCCCAAAGGCATGGACTCTCCCCGCCCCTCAAAAAACACTCCCACCCCTCAAGCTCAATAGCTTGCGTTCCCTCCCCTCTGACGCCCCGGAGCCAGATAAGTAGGAGGCTCTCCGGCGCTCTGTCACACTCGAGCTCAGCTCCTCCAGGAGAAAGTACAAACAAGCACAACTGCAACAAGCGAACGAAATGAGTCCGAGCATCTCCGCTGAGGCTGGCCAGCCTCTTCCTGCGCGCTCCACTGTGGCCCAGAGAAAACAAGCCCACGAACTCAGAAAGGTAAGCAAACGAGAGTTCTGAACAAGCAGTGAGCACTCTAAAATGAAATGAACCAAAGAGCAGCGAAGATTTACAATCACTGTTATTCCTTCCAGACTTTGAAGCCCTTGCTGGAGAAGAGAAGGCGCGCTCGCATCAATGACAGTCTCAGTCACTTGAAGGGTCTGATTTTGCCTCTTGTTGGCAAAGACAACGCGCGTTACTCCAAGCTTGAGAAGGCTGATATTCTGGAGATGACCGTGCGCTTCCTCAGAGATCTTCCTTCCTCCCCGGTCAAAGGTGAGCGCCATAACCCACTAAGAGGCTCTGTTCCACTGACTGCCCCCTAATATTCTTCATCTTGAGATCGGTCCACTAATCACATCTCCAATCTCCTCCCTCCAGACTCTGCAGACAGTTACAGAGAGGGCTACAAAGCCTGTCTCCAGCGGGTCTCCGCTCTGCTGCCCAAAACCAGCCTGGACCAGGACGCGTGCCGGCGCATCAACGACTTCATCCAGCAGACCATGTCCAGCACAGTCACACCGACCTGCCTGAACTGCTGCGCCCAGAGCTCCAGGACTCTCCCTCAGATCCAACACAGACTCTTGAGCCTCAAGTCCAGCTTCAGCTCCAGACTTGAGAGCAGGTCCCGCAGCGACCTGGGAGCCGGGGCCCCCATCCGAGCGCAGGCCCTCCAGCAGCCGGTCAGCGCTGCCATGTGGAGGCCTTGGTAGAATCTATTGGACGTTTATCCCATCTTTGTCAAATTATTATTATTATTTGCCTGTTCTTATGTTTATTGTACGCATTCCGTCGTTCTAGCACTGAATAATCGGTGGAACTGCTGTATATTTATGTATAATGCGCTAATTTTGCATTTGACTCGTGACGGCGTTGACTGCCTGAAGGCATAAAGTACAGATCACAAACAAACTGAAGTCTATGAACGTTTTAGAAAGCAATCCTCTTTTGGGGTTTCAAAAGAGACGGGCTGTAGACAACACATTGGTAAAACCCCGGGGGTTATTTATTTTGGAGGGTTGCACTGTGGACTTAAATATATTTTGGTCTGTGCAACAGAACAGTCTGTAAACACTATGTGTTCAATATAAGTATTCATTTTCCATTTGTGACATAAAAGCACTTGTTTCCTGACATGCGATGTGTTTTTTTTTCTGTAAGATTTGAAATAAACGTACGCTAAACACAAACGACTGTCCTGCGTTTTTTTGCTGCAGTGGCTCAGATGTGTCATTGACCTTAATGAGAAGATTTAAGAGGAGGGCATGGGTGGGGGGAGAGGAAGGGGAAAAGGCGCGCAATCGGAGAAAACCAGAGGTCAGAAAGAGCAAGCTGGTGCCGAAGAGCAGCTGGCCTATTGTTGGTGATGGAATAGGCGCCTCTCTGGTTACCGCCAAAACTGTGGGAAGATGCGTGTGAAGGGAGCCACCCTGAGAACGGGAGCGATTCCAACTTAGGAAACACAAGCAACCATTATGCTTCTCAGTCCTCTTTGTTTTAGTAGCTCTTCATTAAAATTAATACCAGCTTTAAAGCCAAATATAAATGTCAGGGACCTCTCCGCAAGTAAGAGGAGATGTCATGGTTTTTGTTTGACACGAGTTAAGTTCAGAAAACAACTCAGCCAACATTATATTGAATATGAACCATTTGTTTTCATATAAGGCCTAAATTAAGACGTTGGTGCACGTGCACTGCAAAAATCATTTGGTAAGAGTAATGTATATTGTGTGTCTTTAATTTCACTAAAGATGGGAACACTGTAAATTCATTACCACATTTTTAACATAGAAAAACAAACAAACCAAAAATCATGGTTATTTTTTTTTTAAATCACATTTTGTCACATGACAACAAGCTGAAATAAATGTTATTGCTATTAGTATTTAATTGGGTTGGTAATAGGAAATTAATGTTAACATATTTTTCCTCACAAATAAAAAAAAATGAAAATGTTGCAGTAGTAAGCTTTAAACTTTCAAACCCTGAACTAAGCAGGCTACTCCCCATCTTGTGAGAATGGTTTAAAACTTGTTCATGCCAAACACAGAGAACCAGGATGGTTACATGTAACCTTGGTAAAACATTCTTTGTCCTTTCTCTGACATCAATTTCCACAACCCATCATAAGGTCCTCTGCACTCTGCTGCTACCACACGGATTTGTATTTAGTCTCCTTTACAAACAAGGTGCCAGGCTTTGAACGCCTTACAGTGCACTGTTCAATCCATCATCTGCAGATGAAGAATATGACCCAATAGAAGAAGAACATTCATTGGATAATCAGTCAAAAGATCTAAAGTAACTCTGGAAGAGCTGCACAAATTCACAGTTTAAATTGACATTGGAAAATCTGTCTAAAAGGCAGCTTAGTTGTGCTCATAAACCTGTTCTTTGGCAAAGGCATTGTTGAAAGAAATCCATACGCAATGTTTATGCTTAAATGTTCCAACAAGCCACATTGATCACACAGCTGAATGGAGATGCTCTGGTAGACCTTAATAGACCTTGTGCAAACCTTGTGGTATAACTCTGCATGTCACTCTGAAAACACCGTCCCCTCTGTAAGAAATGATAGGGAAAGTGTCATGCTATGTCTAGTCTTTTCTTCAGGAGGGACAGGGAAGCTGTTCGGTTTCTGGTAAGGTGGATGGCAATAAATCTGCAAGCCTGCAGAAAACCTGTTAGAGGCTGCAAAAGACTCGAGTCTGGGCTGGAGGCTGTCTTGCTGGAGGTTCAGCCTCCAGCAAGACAACAACCCTAAGCACTCAACAAAACCTACAATGGTTATATGACCCAATGTTAACACCTGAGGAGGCCTTATCTGGACAATATATCACTCGACCAATGTTTGTGTCCTTTTTTACAGCCTATGCTTCCACAGCCCTGTAATAAAATAAGAAATGGTCTGAGAAAGATTTTGATAATTGTTAACCTCCCTTTTAGAAGATCCACTGCACAATCCTTTGATTTCCAAGCTTTTTAAAGATAAAAATAACAACTTCTCGACAGAGGATTTAAAAAGTTTTATTTTTGTTCCAGATTCAGACTGAGTGAATCTTCGTACTGAGCCATTTTTTTAACAAGAAAAATGACTTACTTCAACAGATTGAACAAAACAAGGCAAAACATTTCTGGTTTCTGTTGTGGAATGGTCCAACCAGTGTCCCAGCTTGAATCTGGAGGAGCTAAAGATTAGGGTGATGGCATGGAGACCATTGAACCTCAAAGACCTGGAATTCTTTACCAAAGTCCTCGGAATACCAGTGTAAACGTTCAATGAGCTGTGCTGCTGGCAATCAAGAATTTTTCACAGCTTATTGAAAGACAATTGTCAAAATGAAGAATTTTAAGACAATTTCAATGAATATATAAACATATAAAAAAGACATTCCCTTTACATTACTTTTGTTATCATTCAAGTGTTTGTTTTCTTATCAGAAACAAACATTGTGGTTGAATGAAAATTATCCCAAACTAATCCAGCCACACTAGACAGGGTCTAGTGGAGGAGTTAATGGGAACTTTGGAGCAGTTTTGGTGTTGCTCCAGAATCTTCTTTTACTACGAGCTTGGGGTTTCCCTCTCTGGTGCATCACTGTTCATGAGTTCAGGCCCTCAATGGTTGTGTTATCTATGAATTCAAGATTGTTTTGTTTGTTTGAACTGTGGTTTGGAGGCAATCTTGGGTGAACAAGAACACTAGAGTGTGTTGAGGACGCAACCTTGGAGATCATTGGGTGGGTCTGAAAAGCCTACTTAACATGGAACGACACATCAAACCTTTGTCTCTTTACTTAGAGACAAAGGTGTGTTATCAGCTGTGTTGCCAGCAGTTTTTGTTTCAGCTCCTACTTTAACCAATAGCTGGAAAAGCTCTTGTGATGTCATTTGATCATTCATTTTCTAATTTCCCTTAGTGGGGCCGGGAGGGTCGCTGGTGCCCATCTACAGCTAACGTTCCGGACGAGAGGCAGGGTACACCCTAGACAGGTCGCCAGTTTGTCACAGGGCAACACAGAGACAGACAGGACAAAAACCATGCACACACACCTAGGGAGAATTTAGAGAGACCAATTAATTAACCTGACAGTCATTTTTTTATACTGTGGGAGGAAGCCTGAGTACCTGGAGAGAACCCACGCATGCACAGGGAGAACATGAAAACTCCATGCAGACAGGCTGAGAATTGAACCCAGGACCTTCTTGCTGCAAGGCAACAGTGCTACCAACTGCACCACTGTGCAGCCTACTGTCATTTGATCAAATAGTGTAAATTCTTTTATAGTGAAAATAAGTTGCATGAAGAACTTGGCAAATAAGTTCATAATTATCAAGTTGTGTTACTAAATTCATGCAAAGAAGAGTTATATTTATTTTGGGGGGGGGGGGGGGCGGGAAGTTTTTTCATGTTACAAACAGATGAAAAACCCT